TTGTGGGTGCTTCATCACTGGAGGATATTAAGAAGAAACTGGGAGATAGTGAGTTCTAGTCCTGCCTTAGGACAGACACTTGTCTGAAATGGTGCTCAAACAGCGGGTTGGACTACAAGATCTCTAAAGTCTCTTCCAGCCCTATTCTGATTGACCGATTGATTTTAAAGAAGAGATTGGACAGCCATTTTGTCTGAAATGATATAGGGTCTCCTGTTTGAGCAAGGGGTTGGACTAGAAGACCTCCAAGGTCCCTTCCAGCTCTATTCCGATTGATTACCTGATATTCTTCATCTGTGACGCCGAGCGAACGGGCCACCTCTTGCAACTGACTCGGGTCCTGGGTTCGGAAGATGCGGGAGAGGAGGACGTAAATGGTGGGAGATTCCGGGGACGTTTGTAACAGGACCACGAGTCCCCCATACCAGCAGGCTCGTGACAAGTAGTGAGCATAGAGTTTCTCTTCCGGGGACAGCAGCTCAAACGCTTCGGCGCAATCCAAGGTCGCGATCCCAATGTCGTTGGGTAAAACGTAGTGAGAGTCCACCATGATGCCAACCTGGACAAGAGAGAAACGGAGACGTCGTCCTTCAGCCCAGTCACGGTATGTACTTTCTTATTAAAAAATATCTTTATTATAAAGATAAGGAGAGACAGTTTGGTCTCCACTTTAGTAGTTAAGGCACCAGGTTGGAAACTGGGAGACAGGGAGTTCTAGTCCTGCCTTAGGCATGAAAACCAGATGGGTGACCTGACTTTGAGCCTAACACTGGGAGATGTTGAGTTCTAGTCCCGCCTTAGGCATGAAAACGGGGTGGGTAACTTTGGGCCAATCACCCAGGGGATTGCGAGTTTAGTCTCGCCCTACGCATGAAAGCCAGCTGCATGACTTCATTGCCTTCAGTCCTTCCTTCCAATCCATCCCACCTCACAGGGTTGTTGTGGGGGAAATAGGAAGGGGAATGTGTGTTGGATAGGTTTGCCGCCTGGAGTTTATAAATAAAATAAAGTCAGGATACAAATCAATAAATAAAGGAAGAAGGAAGGAAGGAGACAGAAAAAGGAGGGAAGGAAGGAGGGAGACTCAAAGAGAAGGAAGGAGGGAAGGGCTTCTCTTTCCTTATCATATCCCCAATACCTCAGATTCTTCCTGAATTCAAACAGCAACTGCCAGACAAAAACATCTGTTGCTTTAAACCTGGAAAAGAAGGGGGGGAAACCCCGCAAACCCATGTTTTAACATTCTAACTTTTTTCCTGAAGAGGGGCAGTCATTTGGAGGGCAATTTTTATGGCTTTATAGAGGCCAGTTTTCCAGCCCCGCTTTGTATACACAAAATCCTCTCGTGGTTTATGGAGATTCTCCATCCTCCAGGTCATGGTTGTCCCAGAGGTGCCTTTTTTCCCCCCTAACAGCGCAACTGGACTTTCTGGTTTTTTTTTTCTTTGAAGACGTTTCTCATCCGAGCTCTGACTGGATGGTGGGGAATGGAAAGATTTATACTCCTTGCAGACCCTTGGTCGTTTGCATCCTTTTAGCTTATCATTAAGGTAACCTGGAGGTTTATCTGTGTCCTCAGGGTCACCTGAGTGGTGCAACATCATCTTATCGACATCATCTATCTCCAATCTACAACATCCTCTATCCATCTACAACCTCATCTATCTCCAGTCTACAACACGATCCCAAGAAGGCTCCACAATCAATTTGCACCACTCAGGTGTGCATCCTGAGGACACAGACCAACCTCTAAGTGGTCTCAACGACCCTCTAAAAGGATGCAAATGACCAGCTGTGTCCTCAGATAAATGGGTCCTTCCACACCCATTTGCATTACTCGGGTGACCCTGAGGACACAGACCAACCTCCAAGGGGCCTCAACGTCTCTCTAAAAAGGATGCAAATGACCAGCTTGTCTGCAAGGAGTATCAATCCTTCTTCCCTTCCCCAGAGCTGAAGAAGCTTCTTGGGTGAGAAGCGAAACGTCTTCAAAGAAAAACAAGGAAATCCAGCTGCACTCTTGAAGCGGGGGGGGGGGGGAGGGAAGCACCTTTGGGACAAAGTCCTCTCCTTCCCTCCCAGCCATTTCCAGGTTAGGGGCGGGGAAGGAATTGGCTTCCAACATGCTAAATTGGGCCTTCCAAGATTCAGAGGCAACCTTGCTTGGTCTGCCGCTAATCCCACCTTCCTCTCAAAACCATGAGGACTAGAAACTTGCTTTTTTTAAAAAAAAAAACCACGAGGCGGACTGCAAAGCCAAAGAGGGTTCCTTTCCAGGCGACCGCCCTCTTCCTTGAAATCTCCACCGGCTTCGAAGGATGCCCCGATTGCAGGTTGAGGTCAGCAGACCGACACTACACGCGCGTGCTCCCGTCCCCACGAGACTCCCCGCACCCGTGCCCACGTGACCGCCCTCGCCGCCCCGCTCCTCGGCTTCCTCCTCACCTGCAGCCGCTCGCCTCCCTTCCGCGACTTCCCACTTCCTGCCACGCCCCATTCTCGGGTCCTCCATTCGGCTCTCAGCGATCGGGCGGACCACGCCCCCGCCCCGCGCACATCCAGCCAATGAGGATGATAGCTGCGTTGCTGGGAGACCGAAGATCCGCCTTTTCGTTTCTTTCTTTTTTCCTTTTTGGCTCGTTTCTTTCTTACTTGCTTCCTTTTTTCTGGCTCTTTTTCTCTTGCTTTCTCCCTCCCTCCCTCCCTTCCTTCCCTCTTTTCTTCCTTCCTTCCTCCCTGCCTCCCATTCTCTTTTTCTTCTTTCCTCCCTCCTTCCTTCTTTCCCCTTCCCTTCTTCCTTTCCCTTTTCTTCCTCTTCCCTTCCCATTCTCTCCTTCTTTCTTTCCCCCTCCCTTCTTCCCTTTCTTTCCTTCCTCTTCCCCTCCCATTCTCTCTTTCCTTCTTCCCTTTCCTCCCATTCTTTCATTCCTTTCTTCCTTCTTGTATCCTGTCTGTTTTTCCTTCTTTCTTTCCTTTCTCCTTACCTCCTTCCTTCTTTTCCTTTCTCCCTCCCTTCCATTCTCTTCCTTCTTTCCTCCTTCCCTCTTTCCTTTTTTATTTCCCCTTCTCTCCCCTTCTCTCCGTCCCTTCCTTCCTGTTTTTCTTTTTCTCTTTTCTTTCTTTCCTCTATGTCCCTTTCCTCCCTCCTTCTTTAGTTTCCCCTCCCTCCCTCTTTCCAGAATCTCGACATCTTTTTTTTTTTAATAATAAATCTGACCAAAACTGGATGCAATTTTCCAAGTGTGGTGTTAATAAGGCTTTATAAAGCCGTATTAGTACTTCGTGTGATCTTGATTCTATCCCATCTTCACCATTTGAGATAATGGTGAAACTCTTTGGATTAAGTCTCAGGCGAGATCCATGTTGCATTTTTCCTGGTTTCTTCTTTTGGAGGTTCTTGGGGTGGGGTGATGCACGTGCACCCCTTGGGAGATGGCCTGTGCAAAACCCTTTTTCTCATTGGCTGAGCTCACTCCATAACCAAGAAACCTTACTAAAGCTTTCACACATTATCCAACAAGTAGTTAGTTTCAATCTCCAGTTACTTTCTGGTTTGTAATATCCTATGTTGGGCTGACACAGCCTCTTCGCTGAACTTATAACTTAACCAGCTTAAAAATCCTGGTTAATTGGAAGCGCAAAACAGGAAGCATGTTAGGGGAATCCAGAGAGATCCTACAAGACCCATACCCCAAACATGCACATTTCTTTCTAAGGTCCTTTTTGGGATGGAGAAATAGAACAGAGTATATCAACCTTGGCAGCTTTAAGATGCGTGGACTTCAACTCCCAGAATTCCCCAACTAGCTTGCTTAAAAGTGGACTTCTTTCCCAGCCAGCTTGCTTTGAGAAAGGGGTGGACTTCACCTCACAGAATTCCTCGGCCAGCATGTTTAAGGTGGGAAGACTTCAACTCCCAGAATTCCCCAGTCAGCTTGCTTTGAGAAGAGTGGACTTCAACTCCCAGAATTCCCCAGGCCCCGTGCTGACTGGAAAATCCTGGGAGTTGAAGTCCACACGTATTAAAGTCGTGGAGGTTGAGAAGCATCGCATTGTAAAGTAAAAAATGTTCCTCTCAGTTGGAAGAGGAGAGTTTTAATTTAGACCCAGAGAAGGCCCCCCTCCCCAATTCCAACTGATGACTAAGAGAAAATTAAAATAGAGACGTTTTGATGGGGTGGCGAAGGTGTTGCCCTAGAAACCAGGCGATTGTGAGTTTTAGGCGTGAAAAGCAGTTTAGTGACTTTGGGCGCAGCCTTCTCTCTTACCCCAATTCATCTTGCAGTTGTGGTGGTGGTGAGGACGCTACAAGGAAGGATCCTTACGTATGCCACCTTGAGTTGTACAAAATAAAGGCGGGAGACAGTACATAAATAAGAGACCCACACCGAATAATGGATATATATATATCTATATATCTCTGTGTTAGCAACAGCAAAGCTCTCCTGGGCTCTCCCCACCGATCCAAACACGGATCTAGGCTGGGTTCACACAACAACGCTAAACCTGGGTTAAAGAAATCGCAACGGCTGCGTGCAGATCGCCTACAATGCCCAAGCAACGGATTTCGAGTTGAGCTTTCTCTGTCAATTCATACCCTGTTTGAAGATAATCGGCTGGCTTTCGTAGCCCCTGACCCCACCCCACCCACAAAAAATGAACCCGGCAGTCCCCCGTCGTGTGAACCTCGGCTTCTCAGAGACCTGGTTCTAGGTGGGAAGAAGGGAAGGACTGGGCCATGGGGAAGGGCGAGGACGGGGAGGAGGACCAAGGAGAATCCGTCTCCCCAAATTGGAATCCACCCCCTCCCACACTCCCACCCACCCCAAAATGCTTGGATGGGAAGAGATGCGGTGGCCGTCCGGCCGATGCGAAGTCCAGTACAATCAAATGACGCGGTTGAGCGGTCCACGGCGGCCAGCGGAGGTTGTGGTTTATATTCTCCCACTGTTTCCCCCCTCACACCGGGCTGCGCCGCCACCCCCCCCCCCCTCTTCGGCTTAGTCGAGGGGTCCCTGGAAAATGAGTCGCACGAAACCCTGCTGGCCGGTCAGCCAGGTGCCGCAGAAAGGGCAGGCGGCGTGGAAGGCATGGGTGCCGTGCGGCAGCGGGATCTGTGACCAATACTGGACAGTCTTGGCGGAACAGACGTGGCCGCAGGGGCAGAAGGCGTGGGTGGGGCGTCCGGCGTCCAGATACAGCCCGGCCTCGCAGCCCAGCCAGAGAGGCACGTAAGGACCCAGCCGCCGACACATGGGGCATTCGCGCTCCAGCCCCCCTTTCTCTTTACGGAACCCCCAGTTGTGAAAACCGTGGACGTGGCCACAGTTGATGTAGACCCAGGGCTGCTGTTTTTCCACCACACCTCGTTGGGCCAGGCTCGGGAAGGCCAGGGTGCTGAAGCCCACCGGGCACTGGGGCCGGGCAGCGTTGACCTCTTGACGCAGCAGCTCCAGCTGTTGCAAAGTTGGGGTGCGCAGGAGACCTTCCGAAGTGCGCCAGAGGAGCGTGGCCCCGCAGAGGTCAATGAGGGAGCCGTCCTCCAGAATGTTGGACTCCATTTCCACCTAGCAGGGAGAAATAGAAATAATAGAAGAAATAGAAGAAAGAATATAGAAATAGAATATAGAAGTGTTGGAAGGGACCTTTGAAGGCCTTCTAGTCCAACCCCCTGCTTAGGCAGGAAACCCTATTCCATTTCAGACAAATGGTTATCAAATCTCTTCTTAAAAGCCTCCAGTGATGAAGCACCCAAAACTTCTGGTGGCAAGCTGTTCCACGGGTTAATTGTTCTCACCATTAGGAAATTTCTCCTTTATTCCAGGTTGCTTCTCTCCTGGATCAGTTTCCCTCCATTACTTCTTGTCCTGCCTTCAGGTGCTTTGGAAAATAACTTGACCCCCTCTCCTTTGTGGCAGCCCCCAAATATTGGAAGATATTATCATGTCACCCCTGGTCCTTCTGTTCACTAAACTTAGAGATACCCAATTCCTGCAACCGTTTTTCATATGTTCTATCTTCCAGTCCCCTAATTATCTTTCTTGCTGTTTGCACTCTTTCTCTTAAATCTCCTCTTTCTCCCAAGCTTTATACATCTTGAGTTATAATCCCCCTCTTGATGGATAAATCTTGACTTTTAATCCATTTCTATCGTCTTTTTAGTGTTGCCAATAGAAAGGGAGGGGGGGGAAAGGGGTTTTGAAAGAGCAGCGCGGCAGCTTGGAAATTAAAAGTGCATTCCATAAATAGTTTTTCAAAGATAGTAACTAGGTGACTGAAGTTTCTGCCACGCAAAATTCTAACTGGAGAGCATGGTTGATGACTCTTGGCTATGGAGGTGTCCCATTGGAGAATATGAATTACGATACACCCAAGGGATGGGGGGGAAACCAGGGTCAAAGGTAACAATGAATGATGTGTCTCAGAGTTGGCTGCACCCAGGCGTACGGCATGTTAACTCCTAATAAATCCTTTTGAAGTTTTGGAAGTTTGGCTCGAGACTCGTGATTTAATTGGGGTAACTGCTGGAATCCTGACACTCTCAGTGGATAAACCTTGACTTGCAATCCACTCTTCTCCGTTGAGTTGCCAACTTACCAGCTTTCCCCGCTGCTGTGCCGAGCGACTGTCCCGCAAAGCGTAGACATTCCCGCACACCGAAATCTCCCGCCAGACCCCCGGGGTGGAGTCTTCGCTAAAACCGCCGTCGGGGTGCATCACAAGCACACCGTTCGTGGTCAAGCCATCCATGAGCCCGTCGGGTGTCCTCCATTTCGCAGCCCTCTCCTGCCAACGAGAGACGTGGCATCAATGTCCGGTTTTAAGGTCCAGGGTGGACACCCCCCCCATACCCACCCCCCCTCACTCAAACCTACTCAAGTCAAAGACAACCAGACTCTAGTTACAGCTGTTCGTTTAGCAACGGTATGAAGTTACCACACACGTTCAAACATTCTCATTGCCATAGGTGAGAATATTTTGGGTTTAAATGTGCATTCGGTCAGTTGCTGGTTGCAAAAGCAATAAGCACCCTGTTGGGTCCATGGAAAAATAAAGGTAGTCCTTAAATGGTTCACTTAGCGACCACTCAAAGTTACAATGGGACTGAAAACAGTGACATGACCATTTTTCACACTTACAACCATTGTAGCAGCCCTGAAATCACGGGATCAAAATTCAGATAGCACT